ACCACCTCCACCACCTCCTCCTCCCCCTCCACCACCTCCTCCACCTCCCCCATCTAGATGCAACCCCCTCAGGTGAGAGATGGGAGCAGAATCCAACCAATCAGAGTTTTCCTACAAACTGTGTGGAACTCCTAATGATTTTTGATCATCTGTCGTAGCTCTCTCATTGCCATCATGAGGAAGACGTCCAAAGGTTCCAAAGCCCCTGTGAAGACGGAGCAGCCTCCAGGTGAGCTTTGTTAATGCCATTAATGACACATGCATTTATCGTAGGAGAGAAAGACGCAGAGAATCTTTAGCATTTATTTGTAAATGCATAGAAATGAAACAAAAACCAATAGGATATTTTATATACAAATAAGTCTATTATATTTGTCATCCATACTTGTTTTTATTGTCTTTCAGCTGACGAGGGTGTGGATGATGTGAAGGTGAAGGCAGTGAACGAGATGATGGAGAGAATTAAACATGGTGTCATCCTGAGGCCTGTCAAAAGCCAAAACAAAGAAAACAAGGTCCGTAGTCATTTATTTCACCTACAAAATAAATGTAACTCCATTTATTAGGCCCATAAATTTGTGTCAGTCTTTAAAGGTTCTCATTTCCAGAAAGCAGAGCTGATCAAATGTTTCTGTAACATTAAAAAATGAACCAGAAAAAACACACCAGACAACCGTCTGCTTCATTAGCACCTGTTACTGCAGATTTCCTCATTTGTCAGAACACTTGTCAAGGTCACAAGGTCATTTTGAAGTTTTCTGTTACATATTTACTAAAACATAAGTTTTTTATTCTTTTCATATTCTCCTTTTTTCCCTGCTCCTGTTTATTCTCATCCTCCTCAATGCCACAGCGGTCAGCAGTAAAAGTAAGTAAATTGACGTTTACATCAATCTTGTATGTCACAGTAGGTCCCATGGGAAAACAGATTCTCCCTCCCCCAGGCTCCATCCCTAGAGTTAATTAGACAAACATACATCATTTTTACATCCTTTCCAGACTGTACACTAGATCCTGTCACACAAGTTTTAATGAGATTTTAGTAAATTAAACAGTGGGAATGAGGCAACACGTCAAAGCCAGAAATCTGCTCTAACTATGACAACAGTCCAGTCAACACCTGGAAAATGTTTGTCAAAGAATTGTATAAAAGCAACAGCAGAGCTGGCCGTGATTGGAAAAAAAATCTTTCTTATTTACATAAGAAATATGCATTTAAAATGTAACTGTAATGCAGCTTCATAATACAACATTATTTTTATTTTTCTAGCAGCCTCCATCATCAGAGGAGAAACCACATGAGAGCGCAATGGAAGAACTGAAAGGCATTCTGGTAGGATTAGCTTGCTGGTTGGTTATGTTTATACCTGTTTCTGTGGTAACTGCAATGTTTTTGACATTTCTTAATAAATCTTAGAGCATCATATGAGGGTTTCTTTATGTTGCTAATATTTGTACATGAAATATAAAAATCTAAAATAAGATCTAAAGACATGCCATTGTTAAATATGGAAATGTAGTGTTGTTAAATGTTGCTCTTAGTTTAAACTAAAAGAATTTACACAGGACACTGTGAAAAAGAGCCCGAGCCGAGGCTCTCAGGATTCAGGCTCCTCACTGCCAGGGAAGAAGGACAGCGAGCTGGAGGTCATCCTGAGACGCCGGCGCAACAAGGCAGGAGAGGCCGGTTCTGGAGGTAAACTCACAAAGAACATAAAACAGTACTGACAGTGGTGAGGACAAATGCACAAGGATTAAAGCTTTGAATTCATCTAAAATGGTGATAAAGTCACAGCTGATGTGAAAGCAGACAGTTAATGTGAAGCTTGATAAACAGCTTCTTATTTACTTGTTCATCTTTTTCTTCTACTCCTTCTTGTCCCCCTTCTTTTTCTTCTTCTGTTCCTCCTTATTATTTGCCTTCTATTTCAGATGATGGTCAGCTGAGTCATGTGTCCTCCACTGATAGCCTTAATGGACAGCGAACCAGCAGCGACTCCGGCAAGGAGGCAGAAGGGCCAGGATCACTCAATGCCCCCTCAGACTCATCGGGGCCAAAGGTCAACCTAGAGAGACGTAGCTCTGGCCCTGGACCCATCGTGCCAAGGAGGAAGAGCTCAGATACGGGCCAGACCTCCAGAGTGGGCTCCTGGCAGGACAGGAGATCCTGCAGCTCACTGACAGAGCGAGAGTCACTGTTCAACAACGGCTGTGTCAATAGGTGAAGCAGTTTCACATTACAATATTATCCTCATTGTTCACCTTGATTTCTTGATGAATAAAACTGTAATTATCTCTCTCTTTTTGTCGTTAGTGTTGAAGAATATAACAAAATCCAAACAGAGAAATGCATAAATCCCAACGAAGTCATTCATGGTGGCAGTGTTGAGGACACACAGGCTGCTGTCTGTACTGGTCCACTAGAGGGCGGCGTTGACGCTGAATGCTAAGGTGGAGACAGAGGATCCTGGGTTTTGTTTTAGCTTTTGTTGGTGGGTTTTTTTCATGGATTCACTTCCAAATCAGAAAATTTTTGTTTTAATCATCAGACACTTTTTTATTTTCTGGATAAGTCACTGACATTTCTGCTGTTGTTTTCTTCAAAAACACATGTTGATTGATTGGATACATTTGAAGCAGAAAGCTTTGTTTCTGTTGTTGTCTCAGAGAGAAAAACCGAAGCATTAGAACGCCAGTTTTATATTACATTTTTAAAAGTAATACTGGTTGTTATTTTTATTTAACCATCTGTTTTGTATTTATGATAAATAGGTTCTCTACCAATGCAGAAAAATCATGGTTATTATAATTTTTGTACATGACCCGAAACAACTTCATGTATGTTTATGTATACATATTATTTACCTAGTAGAAATTCAAATTTTCTTGTCTCAGTACTTTGAAACTGAAGTGTTGAAAAACCCCTTTTAGTTTTGTTACCATTTGTAGACGGAACATTTCAATGGCCCCTTATTTGTCTCACAGTAACCAGTAGGCTCTTGTTAATTGTAATACCATAGTGGTTCTTTCATGGTCTTTTCACCTTTTAGCCCATCAGTTGTAGTTAACAGCCACCAGTTTGTGTGAACGACAGTTGATGCCATGGTTTGTTTGTTTTTTCATTATTTTCCCTTTCACTAAATCCATTTGACATTAACACATCTGTAAAAATGAAACCATAAAAATGTCTAGCTTTTATGAACTCACAAGGCAGAAAACACTAGTAGGTGAATCTTATAGACATGAAATCATGTTTGTATTAACAAAAATGAAATAATCTGCTGCTCAACAAAACTACACCACTGTGAGCAATAGAACATGCATGAGAGCAGAGGGCAGGGACACTTAGTCACTGGGATGGATGAATATGTGGAGAGTTGGACAATGGCTGACATGGAGACTAACACTTTTTTTAACCCGTGGATGTTTGAGTTAGGTGTTACTGAAGTACAAGTGACGCTGTACTTTTAATACATATTGTCTCAGAGGTCTGTGTCCAATAACTGATGGAGCGTTTCTGCTTAGCTGTGTTTGTGTTAATGATATATTACAAAGTCCCCCGGCTCACTACACTATTCTACACTCATTTCTACTGTAGTGCACACTTGGTAGTTTAAAAGTATCATACTTACAAAATAGCATCAATCTACTTTTTAACCCTGGATACTAATGCACATTATACGGTATTTATATTTTCCTTTTTGTCTGTGTTTTGTTTGAAACACCGCCACGTAACTCTGTCCTAACAGATCTAAGGCAAACAGAGACATTCTCAGGGTCCACTGGAAGAAATAAAAATCACCAAATCTTCACCACTTCTGGGGCCTTGACTAGAAAAAAGGAGAAATTAGTGAAATGGTCAAAGTTTGTTTGAAGGAAGCAGGCACTGGTGCACTTTTCTACCTCTCAATGGACACCACACGTCACACTTCCCGGTGTCAAGACTTGTGAGATGTTGTCATTATTTGTCCACCAGAGGAGTCTTTCACCACCTCTGTCCTCGGAGCCAGCAACAAGTCCCCAGTCCAGTTTGCACACACACGTTTCCACATGTCGTAGGGACGTTGCCGTCCGGCTGAGGGTGGAGCCCCCTCTAGAAATGGCTGAAAACTTTGAAGCTGTTTTGCTGAAAATGAGGAGACAAAGGACTTATTGGTCTAAACACCCTGTGTTTTCTGTATGTGTACAATATGTACGTACATAATGCATGGAGTATGTTTATCTATGAGCCCTTCTGCAGTTTGCCACATGCCGCTCAGCATATTGATTCCGCGTGGACCCACATTGCAGAATGCACCTTTAATGCAGTCAGTAAACTTTAAAGTGTGATCAGCTTTTTCTTTACCTACATCAGTGGTTACCAACTTCAAGACAAAAACAAACCTAAGGTTAATGAAAGAGCTAAAAAAGAAAATTGGGAATTCTCCTCAAAGTGGCAAAAAAAAAAAAA